CTTCTGTTCTCATGCGATGAAACGCAGTGCCTTCTTAGATCCACACGAGACTCCTCGATCTCATCGCTCCACGCGATCAATCCGAAACCACCAGCACCTAACAGTTTGCGACCTCGAGTCCCGCACGTGCGACCAATCTCGCCAGCACACATGTTGAACGCCTCGCTCCGTCCTTTCTGCCCATCAAATCCACGCCTAATGTTCATCGATATGGAGTACGAAACGACACGATACGACCCACGATACGAATACGGACACGTAATTCTTAAAAATGCAGCAACGAGTGCACACAACACGACATTATAATTATAAATCATACATAAAAATTAAGAAAAGCAATCAAAGCATAATAGTTTGAAATTACAAAAAAAAATAAAATAAAAATATCAATTTGTAGCCCTTGCTAGCTTTAATATCAAAATAAAATTAAGCATAAATGTCTAGTACAACAACAAAAGCATAAAACATAAATTGTCTAGCACATGAAGTGTTATAACTATTCAATAGAAGGAATGATATATTAGCTTCTTCATTGGTTTTGTCATTGAACTTCTATATCATCCAATTAATATCATAGACTTTATAATTTAGCTCATCAAGGAAATGAAATAACGACATGTCCTTTTTTTTTTTCGATTTTTTTTGTTTTACCAACGCGCGTGTCCTTTTAAATTAAATAGTATTTTAATTGGATTAATGGCTTTGCCGTATCCAACGACATATCGGTGCCGTATTAGAGGCGTTTCCCATGTATCAGATATAGTACAGCTATATGCATGGACAAGGACACGCGACACGGACACGACACGACACGGACATGCGGAACAAGAAAATTTTAAAAAATATAGAACGGGTGCGGCGTGGACACCGGCATAATAATTTTTTAATATAATATATTAAAAATTAAGGTGACATTATAGTAAAAATGACAAGCAATTAATATATCAATTTCATGATAACTTGTTAGTTTATAACATAAAGATGTTAGTACAAAATGTCTAATACAAACCACCAAAATATAAACAAAACAAATCATTTAGTACAAAACATGAAGGTCTAACTACTCAATACAGGGAATGATAGAAATAGATCAGAGTGTCTTTGAGCCTTCAATATCATCATCATTGAAATATCATTGCTTCAAACGTGTGGTCATTCCTATTAGAAAGACCCTCATGAAACCAACTCCAATTTAATCAATTCATTTATCTAAGGCACAATCTGTATACCCATAATCTCCTAGCCAACACGTCCCACATCTTGTAATCACCTGTCATATAAAAGTGGGTTTTCTTTTATAGAAAGACTATAGAGCGTGTTATCACTATAGCTAAATTCTTCAGACACGTTGTGTAGTATTTTTATATCGCCTCCCTATCAATTGAGTATGAATAAGATTGCTAGTATGTGCCTCAGATCCCTTCTCTCACAACAGGAAGACGGAATGAAGTCCAACTTGACCAAGAAGTTTTATTGCATTGTTTGAAAAGAGCGGTTGCTAGCAAGCTCCAGTGCAGATCAACCTCCACATTTTTGCGATCTCATATTCAGTTCCATCTAATACAACCAAAAATGGTCCTTGTATCACCCAAACCTTCATAAACCCATCTAAAATATCCAAAGAACATTTCCAATCCTTTGATATTTAATTTGAACTTCGTCTCAAATTTCTCAAATTTCCGTGAAAATATAACTTTTTCAGGCCATAACTTTAACTACGATATCTCAGAAACTTTCTAATAATTCTTTTGTGTGGTGAGAACTGTTGTGCGTGAACTATTCTTGAAAGCGCTATTAATTCCTTACTTGAGATAACCTCACCCAAATAATACAAAAAATATATAAAATTATTTATCTGGAAAATTCATTATACCCAACTGAAATTTAAAATTAGATTTAAAATGAATATAAATATACCTTGGATTTAAATGGAAATGAGCCAAACAATAGTAAAGGTTGTTTGCTTTTCCCACCTATCAATCAAGTAGATGATATAGATCACCATGCAATCCTTAAAAACTTCCGAGTCTTAAACTCATAAAGTACTAAAATAACTTAGAGTTTCTCCAATTGTCTTTATATATATTTCATTTCTACTTTTGTCCTAATAAGTAGATACCACGATCTCATAAATCAAATGTAGGCATGATTTATCTATTGCAGCCTCTCTCAACATAATCATAATAGATCAGTGAAAGTCAAAATGTAGTCTAATATCCCACCACAATCATCTAAGACCTTTCTTTAACATATCTTGCCTTCCCAACATCATCTTCTCGATAGCAAGACCACTTCTCACTAATCACCATAGATTGAAGAGCATTTTTAATTTGTTTGAATCTTCTCAACATGATTATTACAGAGTAAAACGAGTTTCAGCAACAGCTAATATTTCAAGTGGAGAAATCATTAAACATGAAAGTCTCATCGAATGGTCATAATAAAATTTCTAATCAAAACAACATCATTTGTAACCACTGTTATCAATGACATTCAAATAATGATTTCATTAGCCTCTGTATCTTTGCTGCACAAATATTTTTTAGAGCAAGATTTAAAGTGTGCACAGCACATGGTGTCCAAAATATATGGATAAGTTTGCTCCACCAATAATCCTGCGCTTCTACACACTGGTGCATTATATGTAATAACCTGCACAAACATTGAAGACCCCAATCATGACTATCACTTCTTTAATCAGATTGGCAATAAAATTTTATCCTTGTATTCTCCTTCACAATTCACTGCTTAATGAACATTGGGTAATTCTCTGTAATGGCCATGAAATTAATATGGGGTCTTCTTTGAGGATCTCTCCAACCATCACACACTAAACTAGCACATTTTTCTTTCCACACTCTTTTGTTGGTTCAAGCAATGTCTCAATATGTGCTCTTTCTCTTCCAATAATTTCGATCTTAATGCAATTTAGCCAGGTGTAACATATCCTGCAAGGTTGTTGTTACATGAAAAATTGAATGCCATTTTTATAATGAGGATTCCTTGCAAGGTTGAAAGGATAGTCTCGTTGAAAAAAACACCCTTGCTATTCACCATCCAATTCCTCTCGTTGATGCAAATTGAAAGCCTTCTCTAGAGACTTACTGGCTACTCATTTCTTTCTTTGTTCATATCCTTCACTTCTAATTGATAAAGCTTTTATCAACTCTCACAGATAGGAAGAAGTGTGGATGAAACCATGAGAAGATGGCAAAGGTATCTCTTTAGGGAGTGTCCTTTGGATCCTAGATCAGCTTCATCAACTAGTCTGTTGCATTCAATCAACTGCGATGTAGTATCTTAGGACACATTTTTATTCCAATGGCCAGAAATTTTAAGTAACGTCCTTTACCCTAGAATAAGATCCTTTGTAGGTGCCATATGTGAAATCGATCATCATAATGATAATTCTTGGTTCACCTACCATGCTGTTAAAGATTTAGTCATTACTTCAGAGTTTGCACGCCTTAATGTATAGCATAATAATCGATATCTTCGCATGAAATTTTCTACACAACAAAAAATACTAAGTAGAGTAAAAATAAGCTTAAGCTGAATCACACGCATAAAGATTAAGATCAAAAACAATCAAGTTAATCTAACATTGTATACATGAATGT